TGGAACGCATATCTACAAGGAAACACAATTGTTTAGTGCCCTCGCAGGTGCAGGAGGATGTGTTGGGGGACCACTGGAACGAAACTTAGTCGAAAAGATTGCATCCAGTGCTCCTTGTTGCGCAATTTTAGTTCGAGTCATATGGTCACAATATGTGATATTGTTTTGAGCAGGATGTGTATTTAATTTTGTTGCAGTAACGCTAGTGTGAAGGACACTCTCATGGCTGCTCTGGAGGCAACATCTGCGAGAGAAGCGATGTCTGATGCCAGGGCGACCTATGCAGTTCCTGGGTGCTTAACTGTAGAATATAGAACTTGATGTCATTTCAAAGTTCAGACATGTGCAGTATACACGTACATTAAGTTTATCCTGGAGTCACTATCCCACATCAACATTGATACTGAGGAAGCACGTGGTTGCACAGGGAGTTTTACTGCAAAGCTTGCTGCATATTCCCATCGCTATAATCTAAGTCGAAACTTTTTTCGTGCGACGAAGCTTCCATTGGATCTTTGTGATGATTAAAATCACACATATTTTGTCTGCAATGTTTGGTTTCTACAGCAGTTGCTCATATATGGGTTAGTTTGGCATTGTATGCCGCAACGGCATTGGTTAGTTTGACCAAGTTTGACCTGAGGAACCGTGCTTGGTATCTGTCGCTGTGAAGGCCCCCGACGGGTCGCGGAAGATTGCAGAGGTTCCTTTGCAGCTTCCTCATGAGGTCTTAGATTTCCTGATGAGAGAATGTGATCTTCCCATGTCAAATCCAGCGATGACAACATATTGGAACCACTTGGAATCGGTACAGGATGAGGTGGCAGTGACCAGTCGTCGATTCAGAGCATGTCTTGACAAGCCGGCATGCCCACTTGGTATGCATGGCGATGATGCTGCTATGGGACTTGTGAGTGGTGCCCATGAAAAGATTACTGGTATTTTCCTTAGTTTACCACTATTTAGACCACGAGCGACCCGCCTATCAAGATTCATGCTTTGCAGTATTGAGAATCAGCTCATTTGGAGTTTGGAGGAGACGGTGTACCCCTTACTTGAAAGGATTGTCGCGTCGCTCAACCGATGCACTGAGATCGGTGTGGCATCACGGCGGTTCATTTTGACTGAACTTCGTGGTGATCAAAGTTGGTTCCGCTACTTGTTCAGGTTCAAATCATATTGGAAGGCCAACAATGTATGTTGCCGGTGCGAGGCTTCAGCCAAGGACCCAGGTAGGACTTATGTGTCTTACGACGGGTGGGTACCATCAAGTCGATCTACATCAACATTTTTGGCAGAAGAACTTCCAGATCCATTGTGTCCCCTTGTAGCATATTACAGTACTATTTCCAAACTACAGCAATTCACAAAACAAACAGGTCCTGTTTGAAATAGTGGTTTAACTATGTTTGCCTTATGCGGAAAGCTTATCAGGTCCTCTCGTCAACCTTCACTTTTTCTCATTGGACACCATGCGCCATTGTACATTGCATATTATCAATTTGGGTTTGCTGGCAATATCGAATGGATCAACTATGTTGCTGATTTTGAATCGAACAAGGTTTTCCTCTATTTGGTGTATTTGTATTGTCAACTATTTGTAAAGTAGTTATTGTTTGGTTAATCAAACATTTAGCGAACCAAGGTCTATGCTACTTCACATGAACTTCTGGGGTCCCGTGGTTCGTAGCGATGATCCGAACAACTACCGTGCTGCATGCAATGTAGCATTTGAGGACTTTACTGTATGGAGAAGATCACATCGGATATCATCGAGTCAAAAGAGGTTCACCTACTGGTCAACCTTTCGTGAAGAATATGGATGTCTATTCCAAGCCAAAGGGCATAATGCACGGATTGTGTCTGCTTGGTTAGAGGATTGTTTGGAACGATCACAGGTGGCACCCCCCTCCTGGAATGTTGCATGACAACCGAGTGCCTCTTTGCTTGGCAACCCTGAGTTTTGGATTGAAAAGAGCACGCATTGACGTATTGGATTTTTGAGTGTTTCTGCTTTATATCCCCAACAGTACACCAACACCATAATATGATGGTCTACCCAAAGTCAATGGTGCTCCTGTCCAGGAAAGGCATCAACCGCTTCTTCGCGTTAACGGACCGGGCCTCACGGTGGTTGAAGCTTGTCCAAAGCCATGATGCATGGCAGCGACATGCGGTGCCACGAGCACGCTCAAAATTGATTTTGCTTTACACCATCAGCGCTCGTGACCATGAAAAAACGGTTTTCTGGTTGTAACCCTATATGTGTTTCAACTTTGAGCCACAACAATTCTTTATCTTTGTGTGGATTCTTGAAAAAAAACTGAATAGTGAATTCCCCACAAGGTCCAGGGTCCTTTCATTTTTTGTTGAGGTACCTCAACCTGATCCAAATTTTGGTGACCCAGGACCCCTGCACAAGCATCAGATATAGAGAAAGCGGGACGTATGTATTTGTTGGGCTACCGCAAGCTGAATCAGGAAGCCGCAAGGACTTCAGTGATTTCTAACAGCTCTAAAACAAATCACTTTGGAGTACTTTGGAACGGTTCGGAACCTTCCAATAACTGCAGAGTTAATTTGTTTTTTTTTGTGGTAGGAGATCGGAATTAGCCTGGCTGATGGTGCCAAAATGGCATGTCCCTTGACTGCAATTCCTGCCAAACAAATGTTCAAACAAGGTGTCATCACAAAGTACAATACATAATGAATGCGTTTTAGGCGATGTCGCATCTACTGTTGGAAGATATCCTGGCCAAAAGTTCCATGGCTGAAATGTTGCCGTTTGACGTCGTTACACTCGGTTTCCAAAAGTCGTCAGGTCGCCAGGTGTTTCGACGTCGATCTTCCCAGGAATGAACAGTCGCTTCTACCATACGTTCTGCGATGAAGACCAAATGATGGTCTTGAAAGGCAACATTGAATGTGTTGAAAGACATGATGACAGTTGTTTTTTGAACAGCTGAACTACTTCTCAACATCGTTCCTCCTGCCAGGATGGGCGCGACGCGCAGACCGGAGCAAACAAGTTCACAAATGTGGACGTGCACATGGTGTAATGCGGTTGGCCAGGGTCCGCTTCAAGAGCTTGACCTGGCTTATCAAAGACCTAAACAAGAAGCGGGCCTACAAAAGGTCCTGACACGTTATGAGAAAAGAACATCTGTCTTGTGACGGTCTACCTGTTTTCTGGTTGAAACGATCAACTGGGTTAAACATCGTCGTGGGCGTGAGACTAAGTTTAACTTGTGCGTAGCCCTATGTATAAGTTTAACTTCGTCCTTGGATTGCTAGGGTATATATATTGTAATGATGCGCCTTAGAAAAGATTGTTCACAGCCAGACCGAAATGTCTGGCACAACTGTTCTATCATAAATCAGGTTGTTCGGTTTTCAGGAAAAGTACCCTAAGTGCGGCTAAGCGTGACCGAAGCAAGCTCCGCCCAAGTGAATTTCAGAAAGTTCACAACCAAAGGCAACTTGTTCAAGCACACCAAGGTGACACAAATACAACCCTTCCAACCATCATGCAAAGGGTAGAATGGGTTCTCCTGTCCTGACAGGACATGGTCTGACCTGACAGGCAAAGCGTCTTTTGGTTTGACCTCTGTGGGCCACAAGAGCCTTGGCACCAAGTTCTTCTGTTTCAAGGTCGACCGCGGCTCGCACGGGCGATACGTGGTGAAGCTGGTCGAGCATCTTGGTCGCGGATTTATGACGGTTGTGTTGAGGGGGACAAAAAGGGCTGCAAATCCGCCGAGAAGACTAAACCCATCTACCAGGGGTCACAAGACGGGGTGGTTTTTTAGTCCCATGCAGTGAGTGGATGTTCTGGGCACCACAAACCTCCCTTAAGCACCCCTTTGTGACTGCTGGTATACCCTCCCTGCGACAAACATGGAATATCTGAATCGGCCCACTGTTTGTAGTAAAAGAGGGTCTTTCCGAGGGCGCCATCCACGTAACGATGATTGTTGGAGAGAGGGTATACCATTACATAACTTAATACATTCTAACTTACAACCTTAAAACTTGTAACATGGGCAAGGTGCATCCTGAGGTTTGTCCTTTTTGCAGCGAAACACCCGAGCATATGATGGCTGATCTGGTGGCCATCACGGGACGTGTTCATTTCGCGTACGTACTTTGGTTTCAGACTGGCGACTCAATGGCACAAGACCAGCTAAGGTGGTCACGTGCCTGCTAGCAATGAGCCAACTCACCACTTCTAAAGAGAAATCGTTATTTCCTGACGGCTCAGTGGTCTAAGTGCTTGAAGTCCACAACTACAGTGGTCCTTGACTATAGTTGTCTTTAACATCATCTTCCCACCATCGTCGTCAGTTTCCCCGTTGCTTCGTCAAAAAAGTGAATAAGCGCTGCGCAGGCTGCCACCCTTTTCCAAGCGACCGACGGAATCGACCGACAACCCAATTGCTTCTATACTCCCTGAAAAAAATGTCTGGTTACGTAGATGGCATGGCCCCTTGCAGGACCATTTTCTGAACATCAAACAGGTGGTGGTTTTCCACTTCCGCGATGATTTCAAGGAGTGAGTGTATCGCATGTCTCTTCCAGAGGGTGATGTGTTCGACACTTTTACATCGGCATCGAGGTCCAGTAGTAGCTTCTGAGAAGGTATGTGGATCCTCCAACTATGCAACATGTCTGCACTTCTTCATCTCTAAAACCAGGCGCATGGTGCCGCAAACACACATGAGCATCCTTCGAAGTTCGCTCGGTCCGGCTCGGTCCTCGAGTTCCGAACACCGACTGGGGGGGCACCACGTTTTCCTTCAGACGATCCCCAAATAGAAAGAAGAGTTTGCCATCCCTTTCAACATGTATTGGACACCGTGCCACTATCTATTTAAGGGACGTCCACTCATATACCCCAGGGCTCCAAGTACTTCCTCAAGAGGTGTTTGGGGTGGGTTTAGAGGATATGACCCGAACACCGGTGGATCCCTCCGACCTCCACCGCTCCACAGCCAAGCGGCGGTGATGCGGCCGAACTCGTCGGGGGAGGTGTTGACCACCTGCCGTGTTACGGTCGTAGTTTCTTAGTCACTGCCAGGAGCTACGGTAGCTTCTTAGTTACTAGCGATGGCCAAGCTCATAGCGATGGCCGAGACGCTAGTAGCGTACGACTCTTAGATACAGATTTTGCCTGAAGAGGTGTTTCAATCCGTGTCTTCGGGGGAATTATATATCGAGAGTCTACATTATGCAGTGGGTGATTGTTGCAATAGTGTTGATTATGACTCCTCAATGATGATATATACGATATATAATACGGTGTTTCTGATTGTGTATTATCAGTTGGGTATCACCTGGGCGAGTCCTGTGGGTTGATGTGCACAATACCTGGGTGCTCATGGCATCGCATCATACCTTAGATGGTCAACTGATCAACCAACCCTCTCCAAAAGAAAGGGTGACCCAGATGGTCAGGAATTTCTACCATCTATCCAAGTGAGTCTGAACACCATCCAAGTCATGGTGAGAGGCTGGAACACCATCCAAGTGAGTCTGCCTATAGGCAAACTCTACCAGTTGGACCCCTCCAAGTCTCCGAAAGACCGGAACTCGCAGTCCCTTGCCTCGCCCTGAGAACCGTTCAGCTCAGGCCGTCGGCGGATTCCGGACACCGTGACCTGGGGGCCGAACGGCGCGGCCGACAGCGACGACAGCGACCCAAGCGAGCTGTGCACACTGCGGGTGAGGAGTTCATGCAGGTGACGGCTTGGAGGGCGGAAAGGATTGGAACTCCAGTGTGATGTCAGACATCCCGGCAAGGGGGAGTGCGTAGATCGAAAGAGACCACACCAGACTTTCTCGAGCTGTGCAGGTCAGCTCCTGGTCTTTGAAACTTTGGCTCAAAAGAAAAAATAGATACCAGCCGCAGTCACAAAGGGGCGCTTAATGGAGGCTCGGAGTGCTCTTGTCACATCCACTCACTGGATGGGACCAAACACCACCCCTTTGTGACTGCTGGTCAGCAGTTTTTGCCATAGCTGTGCACGTCAACATCCTCGACGCACCTTTTGGAGAAATGCGTCCGAAGGAAAGCGAGCGAACGTCGGGTTCGGGCATCCTGCTGCGGCGAGTTCGTTAGGTCTAACGAATTTGCCTGCATCGTATGAAAAGATTCCTGTACAAAGCAACAAACAAGCTGTTTCCCAATGCAACCAGGCCAGGCATGGAACGGTGCATAATCGTATGATCATGGAAGTCTGCAACCTGTATTGTATTGAACCTACAATCCGCAAGTCATTTCGGAATAATAGCTATTGCAACTGTGGAAATTGAAAGAAGAAGAAGGAGACCAAGCAGCACAAGCAACAAAAAACTTGAAGAGCCTGACCCAAACCTTGTGACTTTGCAGTTCTGAATGAGAAAATCAGAGCAACCCAAGAAGGGCCCAATAAACGGCAATTAAAGGAAGCAACGGAAGACGGAGCCAGTGAATCTAGGCTTCTTGAAACTCAAAAACCTGAGTTCCAATGGCCCAAAAATGGATCCTATATATAGAGCCTACCTGGATCGCGAAAGTTGCCTGTTTAAAAGGTAAACTTTGAATAGTTGCATGTTTCTGGCTTCACTTTCTCAGATACCCAACAAAAATCGTACACTTTCTAATATTGACACTTCCCATCGCTGCCTTCAGGTTCCCCGCGTGCCCAGGCACCTCTGAAGGTCTGTTTTCTTCAGCATGAGCAAGGCTCAAAGGGCATGTGGCATCCTACAATAGATAAACTGAAGCAAAACAAGTCACGTTGACAGGTGCCAACGACGAACCTGTAGACCATGTAGGAAAGTTGCTTGCACTTTGTATGACAACTTTGTATCCATATCCTGTATGCCCATGGAAGCACGACGGACCCTGCGGCTGAGAGATCGATGAGGACTGGGACAGTAGCGTTTTCGACAAGAGGGGTTGTCTCTGTGAAGGTAAGTATAGAACAGTTCCGTCATTTTTGTTCAATCGACCTCTTGAGCATGCAGGATGGAGGAAGCAAGTATTTCCTCACTCTCAATGCCCAGTACGGCTGGCATGTTCTTCTCAATGAATCGCCAATCCTGCCACGGGCAATGTTTGATCCATGCTCATGTTTGGGCATGTTGGATTAACATGTTTCTTTGCCATATACATATGAAGCAGCGAACACCTGTGCATCACCATGCAACTATTAAAGGCTTTGCGGTGTGCGCTGAACTCGAACTAGTCTGAGGGTTGGTTTGGCAATGGCAGCAGCCGGCCAGCTAGCAGCAGCATGGGAAAACAACAGGGTCATTCGCCACAGGCTTATGAAGCAAAAGTTCTTTTTGCAGTGGCCATCTACATCTGCGCCAGCAGAAACCCAGGAGGAGGAGATCGAACCAGCTCACCCGGTTTGCACACAAGCTTTGGAGTTGAATGTTGATGTTCTGACTGTGATGGTTGACGAGCTAGATGGCCAGTTCATCAGCATTGATGACCTCAAACCTGAGGCCGAAGTCTTTGTTTCAGTGTCCACTAGAGTTGAGGGAGTAAGGAAAGAGTTGAGGTGTGCTTACTATAGCTGTCCATGTGTATATGACCCATCACCCATGCATGTATTTCATCCACAGAATGCATGCAGGTGAAGAAACTGTTTGAAGACGTTAACTATGAGCCTGGAGCACGCGAAGTCTACATAGCAGCCTGGGACCTGCGCCAGCTCTATACCTTTGCATTTCGTCGACAAAACGACGCTGCCAAGAGAAACCAGCGACCCCGGGACTGCAGCGGTCAAAGATATAGCTGTTTTTTGTTGCCAGCATGTTCGCTTTTCTTTACATGTTCCCTCCCCACCTGGTACATGCATGTGTGTTTCCATCAGTTGTTGCAGGACAAAAAGGTCAAGGCGTTGTTCGAGAAGATCCGGGATCTACGAACTCAATGGGCCAAGTGGGCCATTGAAGATGTTCAGCATGCATTTGATCCTTCCGAGACTCCTAGCAGGTTGGAGTCTGATTGCTTTGAGGCTGCTTCACCTGCTCCATCACCTGACCCGACTCTCAAGTCAGGGAATGTGCCACAGTACAGAGAGAAGCGGTCAGCTTCAAGTTTGGCTTCAGAAGTGACACCAAAGGCTTCTGACGAGCCAACCATGGTGGGCTCTCCCGGTGAAAGTCAACTGCAACTTGATGTGTTGGGCGAGGCATGCAGCGTTCCAATGACTGCGGAGCAGCAGAAGGAACTGGACAGTGTCTTGCATCAACTTCACATGATGCGGCTGGCCAGTCGTTCTCGTGAGTTCTGCGCCCAGGTACTCTTGTAAACATGCTCTTGACATAGTATCGAAATATTGCTGCCGCAGTACTCATCCCCAAGGTCTGTGGAGAATGATTTGGCCAAAGGCGCGCAAACCGTTGTTGAAAAGGTATATCGCAGCCATGTTGGGCCGATTTTTCACTCTCATTCAGTTCTGACAGCTACTTTGCTGGTTTGAGGTGGCCAGGGTCGACCTGTTCCATGTCCTGCTTTGCGCGACATTTCCGAGGCTGGGCCATGCCCGTATATCCTGTTTATAGTTTTCTATCGTCTTATTATTCGCTATTTGTCTGGAAAGTTCCTATGCACAGATCCATTTGTAGGCTGAGACCCAGCCAATGGACTTCGGTCAGATCGTTACTCCCCCTGCGGCCCATCATCCACCACCTTGTGAGACACCGCCGAAGGCCAAAATTTGTTTGCTGGGATCGTGTCTTAAGAATTCTGCGATTTGTCAACCAAGATTGGTCAGGTTATCGATTCTTGCCCCGCCGTCAGGTGGAACCTGAGCAGGTTGCCAACTTGCCGGCCGAGGTTGAGGTCAAGGGCAACGAGATCCAGAACAACACTGTAGAGCCGGCTTCTGGCAAAGGCTCAGGGGTCGATGCTGAGGCCAAGGGTGAGGCCAAGGAATCAGAACCGGAAATCACCCCCATGATGCAGTCTGCAATGCGCACCACGAAAAAGAGTAACATGAAAAAGGGACGAAAACCTGGGAAAGGAAAGTCCGGCAAAAAGAACACTTCACCAGGTGCAGGTGGCCGTGTCACCAAGAGGCGCTCAAAGCGCAATATCTTGAAGAAAAGTAAGAGCCGCGAGGGTTTGGTAGAGCAAGCCAGTGCATCGACTGACGAGCCCACTTTTGTTCCTGACCCGGCAGCCCGGAAGCGAGCCAAGGGAAAGGCTGCCAATACCAGATCCAAAGCCAAGTCCGCAGAACCACGTAGAAAGCGCAAGACATCATCAACCGCCGCATCCAACAAGGTTGATGGGGCAAGCAAGCCGGATAACTCTGAACACCCAGCCCAAGATCGGATTAAGATGGGCAGGTCATGGATGTATCGAGTTTTGCCTGGGCAAGTCTTGGGCTGTGCAAATTGCCGTTGCATATACAATGGCTGCAGCAATTGCCGCCGTTCCAGCTTCCGTGGTAGGAATGCGGAATACTACTACAGCCAGCAGCAAGCACTGCCTGCACCAGAAGCACATGGCAGCACACCTGCGGAAGAGCCCACCAAAAAAGGGCCTTCCAAACGTACCAAGACTGCAGAAAAGCAGACGCGAGCAAAGCGACCCCGCAAAAACTCAAAGCATGCAGTGTGATGGCTGGACCAAGCGCAACAAGTGGGTGGCCAGGAAACCTTTCTCAAATCAACCAAATTTTAGAATATATGTTTGAGTGTGTGTCTCTTTTTTCTACTTGTTTCGAACTATGTAATTGTAACTATGATGCAGGAGCAACAAGGAACCCATGCAAACCTCAAGGGCAAAAGGACACCCAAACAAACATGCTTATCCTTTTTTGACGGCCTCTCAACCTGTTTTGGAATGCCTGTTGTCACTTCGCAAAACATTCAAGCACAGTGAAAGTCGTGTTCTTTTACAAGTCTATAAGTACATGCGGTGTGCTTCATGCCGGTCCTTCCCAAGGTATGCCCACTCTTGCGGATCATTTCATCAAGTCCTGCATGGAGCACTCACTTCGGCTGCTTCTGAGTGGAGAGGATTTTGAATTGTGGGTTTTGGGTGCCTATAGCAGGGAAGAACCTTGCTATACGGCTATATATATGTGGATTTGTTGGGGTTGTCGAAGCCCAAGCACACCACATCCATAGAGTAGAACTTTGCAAAGGAAGGGTCAACATATATACACACACCGTCGCATCTGGGTCAACCGCAAAAATCAACAGGATGTGCGCTTAGCAAATGGGCTCTGACTTGGACATGTGGTTTTCACCGCAAGTGTTTCAATGGAAAGGGTTGATCATCGCAGAAATGAATGCTTTTGCAAACCTGTCGTCTCCGCAACAGCACGTGGTATACATGCATACAACATATATATATATATATGTTTATTGTAATTATAGATTCTATGTATTCAAAGGGCAGCAGTAGAATAGTATATGTACATACATATGGTGATTGCATATGTATATGTACACAATGTATACAGATATATCTATATATGGTATACATAGAAAAAGCATATACTTTGAACCCGCAGTTGTTCACATGCCAGGCGACTACGTTTCGAATGAGCAAATTGGCCAGATTCCGACGCTCGACCTCCAACCGCCAACGTGAAGGTGCAACTCTGCTGCCGGCTTTCTGATCTAAAGAAGGGTTTGATCTCGAGTC